CCCCCTCACAGTTGTCATGAAGGGCAAAATTAGCTATAGACTAAAACCACTTTTTGTACCAGGCTGTAAACATATTTTTTCTGCTGTAAAGTTGGGCATTTTAACATAGGGAGTCTATAGGACTGACTCCCTTTTGGAGCCAGCCTCTAGCGGCCAGTCGATGAACTGCATTTTTATTCACTTCCGTGTTGGTTTCACGAGAGAGACCGGAAGGTTGCCGCTTGACTAAGACAGTGATATTAAAAGACATGCAGATGAGCCCAGAATATGAACGCAACACATTTAATTACACGTTTAGCATTTTCCTCCCATTAGAAAACCATAAAAACAAAACATTTAACATGGCTTATGCATTGACAGACAGTTACATTTAAAGTTCATATTTTGGGCTCATCTGTTTTCTTGCACATAGTATGCTTTATTAGTAAGGTGTGCACAGAATGTGGTTTTTTAATATGACTGTCTCAGTGCATTAAGCATTTTCTTTATATGAGAGGAAAACGCTTAACGTGTAAATTTTTTGGGCTCATATGCTTATCTGCACATAGTATGCTTTACAATTTTGTCTTTATCACTGTCTTGGTAAAATACAAACCAGTGTGTTAATGATTATGATAATAAATTTAAATAATATGATGAGAATACCAGTTTGCAATATCAAGCAGCATAACCGACTGTTTTTGTACAGCTAAACATAACTGGAAGTGGATGAAACCGGAAGCCTCACACATTCAAGTTACAAATGGCCGCACTCACACTTATGCTAAAAATAAGGTGGATAAAGTAGGCCTATTTCAAAGTACCATCTGATATCATTACTGTACCATGGTAATGCAACAGACAGCACTTTTTGTTAAGGATACGCAAAACTTGTCATCTCTCATAAACTCAACTATTAAGCTGACTAGAAAAATAAACAAACATATAAACAGTATAAACAGTTTCATACATGACGTGTTTTGATTGGTGGCCAGAATATAGCACATATATATATTCTGTAATTATATATATTCTCTATTCTTATATGACCCACAAAGGCAAAGTTTTGCTGTGATGTGCAAATTTTATCCTATAGAAACAAGTCAAAACGGTGTTGACCTTGTAAACTTTTTTCCTCAACCTTCAGTACGAGTCACAAACACGGCTATAAATTTTTTTCACTAAACTTACACAACCAGAGGGGTAGCGTGTCAAACTGACACTCTGTTTTACCAGTGATGACATTTAAAAAACCGTATTGTCATTCACGTCGTTGCAAATGGCTCCAATTTAACCATGCAAGAGGAATTGTTGAAGTCAAGGCTCAAAGTAACAGCAGGCATCAGGCAGTCACACCGGGGGGAACAACCTAAACTGCTCTGCTTTTTTCAACTGCCAATGAGATAGAGTGTGTGCTGACTTTAATAGCAAAGCACAACAACCTAAACTGCTCTGCTTTTTTCAGCTGCCAATGAGATAGAGTGTGTGCTGACTTTAATAGCAAAGCACACTGCTTAGGATTCTGGGTTACCGTTTTGTACAGATACATACCTTTCATAGTTTGTGTCTGTTTTGTGCTTACTAATGTCACTGACCCCTGACCTGGGAGAGGACAAGAGTTATAGATGAAGACACTTAGAGCGGGACACAGTTACAACCGACCTCGAAGCAAAAACAACTCATAAAATCCTATGTGACAATCATGCTATCACGAGGCAATGGTACTGCATAGCTAAAGATGAAGTCATTGATATGTCCTGGAAATATCCCTTCAGTCCAGTGGCTGTGAGCCGAGCCCCCTGCAGGGAGCGCTGACAGGGACAAACGCACACATCATGTGTCAAACGTGCCGCACTTCTGCATTAAGCAGACTTAATTACAGGCCAGAGCAGCAGTCGCATCAGCCTTCCCCTTTCCACATGACTGCAGCTATCTGTCTATATTTCAGAGAAAGAAAAACGAGTCTGTTAACAACCCTCACTGCTACCGGCACTGATACACTCTTGGTTGTTATTTTTGATGCTTTATGTTAAAAATCGATCGTCTAGTTACAACCGACCTCGAAGCAAAAACAACTCATAAAATCCTATGTGACAATCATGCTATCATGAGGCAATGGTACTGCATAGCTAAAGATGAAGTCATTGATATGTCCTGGAAATATCCCTTCAGCCAGTGGCTGTGAGCCGAGCCCCCTGCAGGGAGCGCTGACAGGGACAAACGCGCACATCATGTGTCAAACGTGCCGCACTTCTGCATTAAGCAGACTTAATTACAGGCCAGAGCAGCAGTCGCATCAGCCTTCCCCTTTCCACATGACTGCAGCTATCTGTCTATATTTCAGAGAAAGAAAAACGAGTCTGTTAACAACCCTCACTGCTACCGGCACTGATACACTCTTGGTTGTTATTTTTGATGCTTTATGTTAAAAATCGATCGTCTCATCTTATAAATATTTCTCCTACAGGAAGTTCTCAGGTTGATTATCAATTTCTAGATGCCCACTAAATTGATCAGGCAGTCTCATGAAGTCTCCATTTCAGTATCAGTGGAATTAGATTTTATACTTTTATATTGTCTAAGGCTAACAGATGAAGTGGGAAAAAAAATAAAAAATGAGCACATTACAGGAACCACAGAATGATTCTTACCTATATCTGTTGATTCCATATAAAAAGACAGAGAAACATGGGTATCAGCCACACTTTTGTTACAAAATAACTTGCTTAACCTGCTTAAACACAAGCTATTTATATATAAAATATATATATACCCAAACTTTTGAACTGTAGTATATATAGATCATTTAAAATAAAATAAAATAAAATGGATTGTTATTAACTTGCAAGTATTGTTTACCTCATTGAACTATTATTGAAAAAATAAAAAATGAGCACATTACAGGAACCACAGAATGATTCTTACCTATATCTGTTGATCCCATATAAAAAGACAGAGAAACATGGGTATCAGCCACACTTTTGTGTTACAAAATAACTTGCTTAACCTGCTTAAACACAAGCTATTTATATATAAAATATATATATACCCAAACTTTTGAACTGTAGTATATATAGATCATTTAAAATAAAATAAAATAAAATGGATTGTTATTAACTTGCAAGTATTGTTTACCTCATTGAACTATTATTGAAGAAAGCATTTGTTTTTCTCTCAAATACTAAAAAACAATAAAGATTTGTGTCTCCTGAAGGTACATGAAGATTTAGGGGTGTTAAATACCTGCCAGCAGCTGCTCCATCAACCGAGTCCTGGCTGCCTGTCTCGCTGGGTGTGCTCATTGACTTTGATGGGGACATGGGTGTCGGGACTAAGAACAGACAAAAAAAAACAGTCAGATATAAAATTACGTTCATTTTTTTAATTTATAAAAAATTAAGCTACATTTTAACTAGCTACTTTTTTAAACAATTAAACATTTTTCAAATTTACACTGCACTAATTTATACTATTCACAATCAGAATTAATTTAAAAGGCAATGTGGTGAGAATAGAGACCATATTTGTAATGTACATGGCTCTGCACTAGATGGCGGTAGTAGCAGAGAAAGGGATTATAATGACTAACAAAATCCGTAGAGTGGTGAGATAATTAATATAACAAGTAATTGTAAGTTTCTGTTTGCAATAATTAGCGTCTACGTGAAAGCTCTAGAGATTTGTGTGACTTACTGGGCAGTTGAAAAGATCTATTTTGTTGGATAAACCTTAGAATTTCATTACCAATTACAAAACAACTTTGACTGGATTAGTAATGCGGGACATACAGTGTAGTAAAAAGACTAAAATGCAGAATCCAAAAGACAAAAAAAAAACTGGGAAAAGCCAGCCTAAAAAGAGGTTTGGATGAAGTCCCATTCAAAGACATGAAGGGAACCCAGAATATTACACAGCCTGATCTTGGCAAAGGTAAAAAGGCAAATTTCCCATGTGTTTTGGAAGCAGGCATTGTTGAGTGAGGTGGCTGCGGTGCAGATGGATATTTTAGTGCGGTCCGGTGGTCTGTGTACTGTACCTAATGGAGGTTCGGGTGAGATTCCAATGCTCTGGAGGAGGGCCTCGGTCTCCCTGCGCTTGCGGTCCAAATCTGAGTCCTCAGGAACAGCTTCCGCTTTCTGTTGTGTCTCTGACTGTTTACGTTTACAAATGCACACACAAACACACATACTCAGATATTCATATTAAGTTCTAACCACATTCAGAATAAGTCTCATTCAAATATTTTTTCACCTCTTTCTTCTTTTTTTCTTCCTCCTTTCTCTTTTTTTCCTCTCTGATTTGAGCAAGGCGCTGTTTCTTGCGCTCAAGTTCGGCTTTTAGGTCACTCTTATCAGCCATTTTGTCCTGCGACAAAACAGTTACACCACAGACCCACAGTTTTCACATCCATCCCAGTGTAAGCATGGCCGTATGGAGACTACAGTAGGTAGAACTATATTTAGAGGTTTTGTTCATTAAAAGCAGTAGTTAATCACTCACTACTGCAGTGAGAATCACAGTTTCAAGTTGAAGGACCGTTTGTGTTTTCAACAGAAATGCCTTGGCATATATCCATGTAATACAATACATTTATGAGAAAACTTATTTTAAATATTTATGAGGCATTTGAAACCTAGTTTGATCCCCTAATTCAGCAGCAACAACAAAACAATAAATACAGCTGTTTCTGTATTAAGGGTGTGGCAGATGACTGTATCCATAGGATCTAAGGATTATACTTCTTAAAACTGTAAATCCTAGACTTTATCAAATGATAAACATAACAAATAAATGTGATGAAATGGAGTGGTAATAACAAAACAATATCAGACTGTGGGGGAAAGCTTTATTAAAGCTTAATTAAAACACCATATATGGCACAAAACAACATGCAAATGCATAAAAAAACACAAATCAATAAATAAAAACATGCATTTTGATGGCAAATTATCATGCAAACGTCAAATGTATGATGCGGACAGGTTCATAAGGTCCGGAGATACATCAGGTCCTGTGAGGATGCTACATTAGGTGGACTATCATAATGCTGGATTTGTTGTTACAACAGACTCCAATTCGATTACAGAGTTATAAAATATACAATTATTGAAAACCCAGTTATATTACACAGGTGTCAGACAATGATACATTTGGATGTACAAATTATGTCAGCGTTGCTATTGCTAACAGTGGGTACCAAGAGAAACACAATGACGTCATAAACCATATGCGATTATGAAGTCATCGAACATAAAGCATGAAAAACAGCTCGCCGTTTCAACAAAATGCACGTATGGAAACCTCACAGTTATGTGAGCATGAGAAACATGCACCCAGTGGGTGAGACTTCCTACCTGTTCCCAGTGTGGATGCTGTCCACTGTAAATATGCTGTATCACTGCTGATGTACACAATCTGCCATCCGCTTTAATACGGCCCTTTGATTTAAAACATGTTTGAGATTATACGATGTGATCGTTTAGAAATTCATCGAAGCTGTTGGCAAAATTTAAGGCTAATGGCCTACATTTTTCAGAGGTGGCAAGATGCTCACACACCGCCTTGATACCTCGAGATAACTAAAAGATCCCACACCGCCCCCCTTCCCAAAATGATGTTAGATGTAGAAATAAATTAATCCACTGCAACAGTGCCACCTAGCGGATATTCTGCATTCTGATATGCATGATGTACAGATGTAAACATTAGGTGATTAAACCATTAACAAGCTAACAAATTAACCAAGATCCAATGAGCACAATCTCTACATTTGGATCGTAACTTCAATATCCTTGCTGGAAAAAAAGCAGCTTAAACCAGCCTAACATCCCTGCTGAAAAAACTGGTTGGCTGGTTTTAGCTGGTTGTCCAGCCTGGTCATAGCTGGTCAGCAGGCTGGTTTTAGAGGGGTTTTGGCCACTTCTTTATCTGGTCAGGCTGGGAGACCAGCTAAACCCAGCTACTTCCAGCTTAAACCAGCTAAGACCAGCCAACCAGTTTAGGCTGGTTTTAGTTTTTTTTTTTTTTTTTCCCTCAGCAGGGATGGTTTAGGCCCACTTATGTTAGTAACATGGTTTTAGTTTGGTTTCTCACCATGCCCAGTACTCATGCTAGTTTAAAAGTGACCAAAACCACTTTTAAAACAGAATGAGATAAGATCAGGGTTTTAGGGTGGCTTAATTTTATTTTGAGCAGGTAACAAACATTGCACTAATGGTTAACTTTGAAAAAAATAAAATAGAAGAAGAAGAAGAAGAAGAAGAAGTGTTCATTTCAATCGTTATACACCACTAGATGGAGCCATAGTTCAAATGAGCAAGACAGTTTAGCCTATTGTCATCCAGAATCCTGCTAAAAAATATACCCCCGGTTTCACAGATAAGGTTTAAAGCTAGTCCCAGACTAAAATGCATGTTTGAGCTGTCTCACCTGAAAATATCTTGCTCTGACATATCTTAAAATATGTCACTTCCATTGTTCTGTCTCAAGATGCACACCTGTAACGTTTTCTTCTAAGGCATTTTTATAAAACCTGCTTAAATATCTTAATTTAACTAAGGCCTAGTCCTGGCTTAAGGTAAACCCGTCTGTGAAACCGGGCCATACAGTATTAAACCCGCCTAAAGATTGTTTGCTGGTTTAAACTGGGCTTCAGTTCTCTCAGCCTGGCCAGCCAAAATGTGCCTAAAATGTAAATGGTTGCTGCAAAAAAAAAAAAAAAAAGCCTTGCACTCATTTTAAAATAAAAATAGGTCACTTCGTAGATTAACAGGAATGAAAAACAACAAAAAGATTTCTCATATCTTCATATCATTTCCTTTAGATTATATTATTGTATAGTGAGTATACAATAATATAACAGCAATAATAATAATAATAATAATAATAATAATAACGTGTACAGACTGTTTTTTATGTCTCTTTAATATTTTTCCTTTAGTATTGATAACCCTGAAATTTTGCATTTAATCACCAAATTTGCATTTAAATACAAAAAAGGTTTTCTCAAAACATTGTATATTGTCGCATTACAGGAAGTAACTGAGGTTATTATAACACGCTGTACCATACATACTTCATGCTGCACCACTGAAGATGAAAAATACAAAATTGTGTCTCAGTCCCACTCCCAAAGACCTTTGCTCTACATTAGCTGTGCGCATGCGTCAACGGCAGGGCGATATAGATGTACAGCATGTAGATGTTAAGCCCATTTCTGTTGGCTGCACAAGGAATAGAATATGACGAAATCATATAATCAGTCTCTTTATATCAACTATATATCTCAATGATTGTGTTTTACCTGCCGATAAGAATAGAAAGAATAACCTTGATGTGTGGGTTAAAATCTGTAATACTTTATCTATGCATATTGGAGTAACAGTTTCACCTCTGCCCTCCCTCCCTTGTGTTATGTTTGTACCCTGTTTTGTACCTTGTGCTGGTCGGTTATTTTGGTGCAATGACAAATTAAACCGAATTAGAGCGATTCAGGCGGGCTCTTCCGCCGGACAGTCCGATCACACCGGATTTCTGCGGAGATCTTCATTTATGTGATGAAGTAACAGGCTGTGAATGTCAAACTTTGCGACCTGCATCGGATGAGACCAGGACAATAACTCGGTGAGAACATTTCAAGATCTGTGGATTTCACTTGAAGATCAACATGAAGTTCGCCCAGATCATGCTGAAGAACAGCTCAAAGCTGAACATACCTAAACAAGTGGACAGATTTTCAAAGTACTCTCCGTCCCCGCTATCAATGAAGCAGTTCATTGACTTTCCCAAATATATATATATATATACGTATATAGAATGTTTCATTGGAAGTTTTCAGTCACATGATCCTTCAGAAATCATTGTAATATGCTGATTTGGGGCTCAAGAAACATTACTATTATCCATTGTTGGAAACATTTGTGCTACTTAACATTAGATTCTTTTTATTTTTTTTTATTGAAGTCATTTGTAACATTGTAAATGTATTTAACTGTCACTTTTGATAAATTTAACGGGTCCTTGCTTAATACAAATATTAATTATTTTAAGAAAGCATTTTGCTTTTAAAATTTGTACATTTTATCCAATACAGTTAGTTAAGAATCGCTAAAATACGCAAATAACCAATGTAGTACCCATATATCATGCATCCCAACAAATAAAATGTACTTGATACGTGTGTTCATTTTAGCGTTAATCTTTGATGGCAGCACCAATCCAGCCCACCCCAAACACATTGGCAGTATCGACCCAAACTGTGACGTTGTGGAGGTTGTAAAAGGTAATTAACCATGTTTTTTTTTGCCTGTGTAACACTTCCAAGCCAATAAACTGTGGGTGAAATGGACATTGTAAGCCCTACATGGGCCGACTCACGCTGTATCTCACTCTTTTTCTCTCTAGATGCCTATGAGAGTGCCAAGATGCTGTGTGATCAGTACTACTTGACCTCTCCCGAAGTGGAAATCAAACAAGTGAACTGTGAGCGAGAATTTTCTCTCTCAAACTTTCAGTCTTAGTGTGTCCTTTGCATGGTGAGTCATGAGCTGTCAGAAAACCTGAACTCTGCAGTGGGGCTTTCTACAGTCTTATTGATTCATGTTAGTCTGTAGTTGTTTGACAGTGTGGGATGGTGCCAGCAAAATATGTTGGGTGGGGATTATGGGTATGCTGTGAAATGCCACATTCTTGTCCTGCATGCAATAAAACATGCCTGGACTCTTTAGTGTGAATTTATGCTTTTAGTTTATATATCTTATAGGGGTGTAACGGTACACGTATTCGTAATGAAAATTTTCGGTACGGGTCTTTCAGTTCGGTACGCATGTGTACCGAACAAATACAGCATTGTTTTAACCACTGCACGAGTGGAATTTCATTGGAAACTTCCAGTTATATTGTTACTTTTCATAAGAAACAAAGTCTCATCGTTCAAATTGTGTCATTTTTTTCAGGAAATTCAAACAATAAATGCTGTTTTGGTGCTCTTTGATGTGGCACGACAGATCACTGTATAAACGCCTCAGTTCAAACGGCAGCGCAACCATCCCTTCCTCTTTACTACTAGTTTTAACCTTAACGCAAAATTATATTTTACTTACCTGTAAGTGATGTCTTAATTATTTAATGTATGTTTAAATAAATCTGTTATGAAAAAGTTATGAGAGGCACTGTGTAAATGATTATATTCCAACAACAAATATTTTTTTTTATAATTTAAAATTAATTTAAAAACTACATTGTTTAATTTACATGTTTTGCATACATTTTTTAAGTTGAGAGTTGATTATTATATTTAAAAATAAATAGTAATTAAATTTAAGTTTGGGCTCTGTTGTTAATTGTGGCCTTATAGTAATGTAAAAGAGCTCCCTATAGTGTAGTAGAGCATAAGCTGAGGTAGATTTTATCCCTAAGAAAATATTAATTATAATTAAATTTATTTAAAAAAAGAGCAATTTGTTCAGTAAACCACTGTTTAATAAAAAATAACAAAAATGTATGTTTAGTTTTCCTCCTGCTGTACCGAAACCGTACCGAACCGTGATGTCAATACTGAGGTGCGTACCGAACCGTCATGTTTGTGTACCATTACACCCCCATTACACGTATCTTATCAGCCAAGCATGACCTTAAATTCAACTTTGCCCCAAAAATGCACTGCCGTTCAAAAGTTTGGGGTCAGTAAAAATAAAGATTTTTTTTCCAGCAAGGGTGCATTAAATTGATCATAAGTGACAATAAACACATGTATAATCTAACAAAAGATTTCTATTTCAAATATATGCTGTTCTTTTGAACTTAATATTTATCAAAGAATCCTGAAAAAAAGACATTCTATGGTTTTCACAAAAATATTAAGCAGCTCAACTGTTAACATTGATAATAAGAAGAAATGTTTCTTGAGCAGCAAACAGCATATTAGAATGATTGCTTAAGTTTCATGTGTCACTGAAAACTTGAATTATGGCTGCTGAAAATTCAGCTTTGCCATGACAGAAATAAACTACATTTTAAAATATTTTAATATAGAAAACGGCTTTTTTAAATGGTTATACTATTTCACAATATTAAGGTTCTCACTGTATTTTTGACCAAATAAATGCAGCCTTGGTGAGCATAAGCGGCTTCTTTCAAAAACATAAACTCTTATAGACGACAAAACTTTTGAACGGTAGTGTAACTGTCATGTACATTTACAATATATGTACAGTAAATGCATTATCTGGACTGATAGTAATTATAGCGTTATGCATTTGAATTTGTTTTTATAAGAGAATTGAACCATTATGCAACCACATTAAGTATGTTCTTAAATCACTTATCCGTGTAGACAGAAATAGCGTTTTAAAATCTTATCACTGTTTGTCTATACAGAAATGGTTGATAGGAGCAGCACTGTGTACTCAGTTGTATAATGGCAAAATGTTGCCATGATCTCTTGTTTTATCTCTTAGACATGTAAATAGCAGTGTACTATTGTGTCAAGCAAAGAGAACCTACAAGGTTGAATGACCACCATTGTGGCTAGTCACCTTTTTAACAACACATAGTAACAAATTAGCCAGCATAACCTCTATCATGTGCTTCATACCTGACTAGTTTGGGCAACATGCCAGTGTTGATTTCTTCTTTGCATTCTTAAATAACAAATTCATTTGGGCTAGCATGTTATGGCCTTGTTTTTCAGGTTACTCAACTGTTACTGAATCTATATATCTGTTGCTTTTGCAGTTGAAGGACCCAGTGACCCTATACATATAGTTTATGTGCCTTCTCATCTGTACCACATGCTCTTTGAGCTCTTCAAGGTACTTGAATCACTTTATAGTAGCTATAGCCCACGCAATGATAGTCTTGCATAAACAAAGTAAAAGATGCAAATGTATCATCACTTCACCCTCATATTGTTCCAAACCTGTCTGACTTATTTTCTTCTGCAGAACACAAAATGAGTTTTTACAGAATGTTGGTACATCGCAATTGGTTACAAAACAAGATATGTGCAAGTGTAAATGAGATTTAAGAGCTAGATTTTCAGTGAATAATGACTAAAACATTGTTCCTCATCCAAAGCTGTCGTATGGATTCAGAAGACTTGGAATATAGTAAACAAGTTGTATGGACCATTTAATGGTGCTTTTTTTGAAAAGAGCAGCATAGACATTCAGCTAAATGTCTCCTTTTGTGTTCCACAGGGGTTTGGAATGACTTGACCATCAAGCATTTGATGACTATGTGTTTTTTTCTCTATAACAGAATGCAATGAGAGCAACTGTGGAAACCCATGAGACCAGCCTACATCTCCCACCAATCAAAGTGAGAGTTTCTCTAGGAAGAGAAGATCTGACCATCAAGGTGAGCTTTCTTTAACACCTCAGCGCTCATGCTTTCTCAGACGCACAGATGTAACGGGTCAGCAGAAGTTGAATATTTTATCTCTGTTTTAACTTGCAACATACTGGCAAGAGCGGTGAGAGCCAGACATGTTTGTAATGGCTCTTGTGTTGTATTAGATGTCTGACAGAGGTGGTGGGGTTCCTTTGAGGAAAATCGAAAGGCTTTTCAGCTACATGTATTCAACTGCACCGAGTCCTGTGGCTGAAAACACCCGTAATGCTCCCCTGGTAAGAACCTAGGCTGGTTAATTAAACATACTTTTATGCAGATTGTCTTTGTTGTGCAGTGATACCACATGGTAAATCTTTGATCCACAGTCATGTTTTGAAGTAAATTGTGAGCTTACAGGATTATAAATTAGCAAAATTACCAAAAATTCAGTTTGTTGTTTACACCAGATTAGCATTGTAATGCAGTTGCAATGTTTTCTCTTTCTCTCACAAACTTACCATGGCTTTCTTTCTTCGCAGGCTGGTTTTGGCTATGGTCTTCCTATTTCCCGCCTTTATGCCAAGTACTTCCAGGGAGATCTGCAGCTCTACTCTATGGAGGGATACGGCACATCGGCAGTCATATACCTAAAGGTACACTCTAGCACTACCTAGTGAGCTGCCTCACTGCCTACTACCTACACTTTTAAAAAAATATTTTTTTGAGATTATAAATAAAACAAAGAAAACACTATTTCAGTCTGTCTACTTCAAAATTTCACGTTTAATTGTGTTACTTGCTGCTTCTTTGTAATTAAATTGTTTCAAAGTAAATCCTACACCCGATTTTTTTCAGTGTACATAGGCAGCTTCCTTCTAGCTATAGGCAGTGTCAGCAAAAGAAGCGCTCTACAACTCTGATACACGCCACACAGATACAATTGCGCAATGAAAAACTCAACTCACGATTGATTTCAATGGAGTCTGTTGTTAGCATATTGCTAAGCTAACTGCACAATACGGTAATAAGCATTGGTATTAAATATCTTAATTTCTTACGTCCGCAGTATTGGATTTTTTTTTTCCACTGAGCTCGTCACAATGCAATCTGGAATCGCTTTTTACATGACGGATAAATACTTATATTTACTCAGCCTCATGTCATTCTAAGTCTGTATGTTTTTCTTTCTTCTGCAAGCCACAGAAGAAGATATTTTGAAGAATGTTGGTATCCAAACCGTTTCGGTTTCCCATTCAATGGAAGTCAATTGGAACCAAAACTGTTTGGTTAGGTCCATTGGCAAATCCATGACCAACTTGAACCTGTTGTGAAATCTGTGTGGGGAAATCTTTTGTGATATTTCCAATCACATGGACTCCTATTGAAATTACTGGATTTCACCTGCAAAAATTTGCCAAACAACTAAATATCACCACACGTTTAGAATTTAGAATTGGCTGAAATTTGACACCATTTTTTAAATATGTTAAAACTATTTAATTTACTCTCCTTTTTTCACAGGCCTTATCCACTGAATCAATAGAAAGACTTCCTGTCTTTAACAAGTCAGCCTTAAGGCATTATCAGACGAGCACAGAAGCGGATGACTGGTGCATCCCAAGCAGCGAGCCCAAAAAACTGGGAAAGTACGGGTACAGTGTTTGAGAGGAAGGAGAAGCTCATACGATAAACACAAGGACTGAACAGGGCTGTGAACTATAGTGGAGTTAATTTGGGTAACCATGTATGTGACTGTTGAGGTATTTCAGAAGCATGGTATTATCAAATGGTTGATAATTGACTTCATGAATGTTACAGTCTGACTAACAAGGGAATGTTTGTCTTCCACTTCTCACATTGCTTATAATACACCATGCACTTCATTTGCAGTGCTAACTTTTTAATTTATAGTTTCACAAGACAGAAAAACATGTTAACTCTTCTTCTGTGATGTTAGAGACTTCAGTCAAATGTACTGAAGCTGACTGGTCGTTTGAGCACATGTTGATTCCTACACATTACCACAGATTTGAACTGATTTGTAAGTGTGTTTTGAGTATGTGAACTTGTGTTTTAGTCAGTGGGGCCAAGTTACCAGCTTTGTGTAAGTTATAGAATGTATCTCTAGCAAATATTTGGGAGAACACACAAGCATCTGAAAGTAACCAAGGCTTTATATATTTCCTTGGTTAAATTGCATTCACAATGCAAACATTAGAATGACCATAGTTGTGTGTTTCTTGATTGTGACCTTGAAATGTTCCTCAGTTGGACCTACTGTATAACACTCCATTTAGTTTTGAGTGTAAAAATGTGATGCTATCAATGAGGCCAAATCATTTCATAAACATGCAAGAGTTGTTGTCATGATGAAATCCAAGTAACTTCACTGACATTAAAAACCATGAATTTAATTTGACACTCTATCTAATATGTAATAATAATAGATTGAGTTGTGTCAGAAGAAACCGACAAAGTAAGTTTGGGCCCATGTTCGTTGCTATGTTATTCATTTATTTAAAACTGGCTATAGATTAGACAGTGTTGCTTTTTGTTGTGTGTGAAGCTTTTTATGACCACAAAAAATGTATGATCTTTGTGACAACAGCTTCTGGGTGAACATTTCAGGTATTCTGTATGAACAAAAATGATATGTAGCTCTATTTGCTTTTTTTTTTTTTTTTTTAGCATGAAAACACTGAAGAGGCGATATTTTGGTTATTTTCATTTGCATATAAATGAAAGATAAATGGCTTGTTTTAAATATATTATCTCAGGATTGTGCAGATTTGCCTTTCTAGTTTTGTCTGTTTTTTTTTTTATTGTTTTGTTTTAATTTTACTGTAATATTTGTAAAGTTGGCTTTTTGAAAGCAATGTGAAGGACCTGTATGAATTTTAAGGGAACTCAAGTTGGCAGCAGCTGCTCAGTTACAAGTGACACTCATCAAACTCTGGGTGGGTTTCAGCTGCGAGCAGTTTGCTCTGCTACAGTACATGTATTTGCCTCGTTCAGAGATGGACGAATTTAGACAACCTCAATAGATCATTTGCACATTTCAAGCTATAATCAAGAACTGACATGTCGATGTTATTCATTCATACCTCATAAGCTTCATTGCAGTCATGGAGAGCTTGACATCCCCGTGCTCATGAAATCACACCTGCTTCTTGACGTGTTCTAGACACAATCCTGTATTCACAAAGGAGCAACTGTGTTAATGGATGCTCAGTACTATTCATCAAACTCACTCATTCAGTGAGAGAGTGACATTTTCTGAACTATTAAAACAATGAATGAAAAAAATGGAAAACGGAAAAAAAAAAGTTTTTTAAAAGAGTCATTAATTTTTTTAGAATTCCATTATATGGAACGTTCCAGCTTGGACATTCTTCTAAATGACTCCTTTTGTGTTGTACGCAAGAAACTCAGTCAAAACAGGTTTGAGACAATGGGGGGTGAGAAAATAATGACAGAATTTTTATTTTTGGATTAATTCTTTTAAGAAATGTTTTTGTCATACACCACAAAATATTGTTTTCTTTTACACACATTGTGTTACATTGTTTTACATTTTTATTTTATTTTTTACACTACACTATGATTCAAAAGTATTGGGGTTGGTGGTATGTTTTATTTTATTTTATTATTACTATTATTATTATTATATATATATTTTTAAAGTTTCTTATGTTCACCAAATCTGCATTCATTCAAAGACTATAGATTACCCCCTTAAAGGAACTTTGATTTATTTGTGTAAAAGGACAGTAGTGAGATATTACAATTACAACTTTCTAGTACTATTTTAAAATGTCATTTATTCCTGTGATTGCAAAGCTGAATTTCCAGCAGCCATTACTCCAGTCTTCAGTCACATGATTATCAATGTTGAAAACAGTTGTGCTGCTTGATATTTTTGTGAAAACTATAATTTTTTTTCAGGATTTTTTGATGAGTAGAAGTTCAAAAGAACGGCACAAAAAAAAAAAAACCTTACTGACCCCAGACTTTAAAATGGGAACTTGTGACTGTTATATAACATAAAAATTGACACTTGAAATGCAACTTTACCTATCAAATGTATATTTCTTTCCCAAGCTTTTAAATGGTAGTGTAAACCATTTTTAACTTATTATTTTTTAAATATTTTGAGTTGGTGTTTTACAATATAGTCTGTTGTAGTCTTAGTTGTGCAGCCTGGGATATCTAGCAGGAGAGCTACAGTCTTACTTAAGGACAGGATCTTGGCACAGATCCTGTGTTTATTTCTGGCCTGTAGCCATAAGCCCAGAACAAAATGATCCATCTTTTCTTTTGCACGTCTCTCCAGTCTCTCCTAACAGCACTTGATATGGTGGCTGTGACTGGTGGCCCCACCCTCCCTGGAAAATAGTGCTATTTTAAGAACCTCAACCACACCGCCTGACCTGTCAGTCATTCACACAATGTACTCGATTCGTTTTTAAAACCACACATCTGCTGCTAGTTCCTAATTTCCACAGGAACATACAGTGCATGTTGCTCTACATTGTGGACTTGATTATAAGATTATCACTTTTAATGTGCTCAAAATATAATATATAATTTAATCTCATACAATGCAAATAAAAGTTGGTCTGTACCATAACAGGGTCAGAGGTTGATTTGTTGGTGGCTGTTTCTCTGTTTTATCTCTTCTGTAGAGAATAAGTGGAAACAGACTGTCTTCTGGGAGGAAGAATCATTGCTTCCAGGTGACATTGTGTGGTGTACAGAGAGAGAAAGGAAGAACAGATACCATCCTAAACTCACATACGACCCAGTAATCACAGAATTCACCATTAAAGGAGATGGCAACCATGCTGACTAGAATGAAAAAACCACTTCCACTCATCAAAAATTGTTTACCAAGTGCTGAGGCCAATTATAATGACTTTCAAAGAGAGATACTGTATCTCAAAGTCTGAAAGGACAAACATACATTTAGTCACAGAACCTTCAATAAAAGCCTGAAATTTGTATACTAAATTTGTATATCCCCGTCTCCTGTGCACTAGCTTGTTTATTAAATATTATGGCTAACAAGTAGCTATATGGTGGGTAAGTACTGAAAAACATACTGTACAGTAAACTTACATTGTATAGCAGGAAGTTAGGTTAATCTCAGTGACTCGATTCTTTTGAATCTGCCCAGCAAAAAGATTTGTTCAGGATCGTTCATGAATCACTTCATGGTGAAGGTTCCATCGTTATGCCAGTGTAGGTGGCAAAAGAGTCTTTTCTAAGATACGTGAGTCATGGAAATTCAGTTTGTTAAATTCACCCCAGTCGCTCAAGATCAAGTTTTATTAAAGTCCTTCAATTTTCTAAAAAGCTTGAGTTGATGCACAGAAAGTGAACAAGAACGACTCGTTCACCTAAAAAAGATTTGTTAAAAAAACTGATTCTTTTGTTTTCATTCGTTTTGTTCAAAATGAAACAAGTGATAATGTGTACTTATTCGGGTAAAGTATAATAATCTCTATTAGGTCTTGTGGCTCTTGGGAACATAGAATTTAAAACTGTAGTCCACAGAATTCCGAACATTCATCCAGCTCAGCCTTATTACCTTTATTTGTAATCTTGGATTCTAAAATTCATTAAAGTGATTTAACTTGTCAAAAAAATGGCCTTTAAAACCCCCTTAGCTTAAACTAAATAAGGCCCCTCTAAAGAGTATCCATGACTATTGTGTCTGCTTTCATTATTCAGGGTTAAACCCTGTAAAGCACTTCAGTTTTTCCTCTAACAAAAGGACTAATGGCTTAGACATCTCATCCTAGTCAGTTGTTATCTGTAATGTGCTGTTGGTGTACTCACTGATATTATCCTCTTACACGAAATGTGGCTTCCGTTGTTCATTTCCCCCTCAAAAAATGATCTACAGTCTTAGCAGACAAGCTTAAGGCCTGAGTTTGATTATTTAGTCCAGATCTTGATAGTCTTGATAGTCTAGAGGTTTTTTATATGTGTGGATGTGGAAAGGCCAAAAACTTTTGAATGTATAATATTTCGAATATATGAAATATTATTAGCATTAATATCAAATTATTAATTATCTAATAATAATAATATGTAATAATACATATGAATATTAAATACATCAGCATTATTACTGTTCCCTGGTAAAGGATCAAATAAAGAAAAAATATTTTAAAAACATAAGAAAACAAAAAGCAAGCAAGCTTTGGAGCATCGTTTACACTGTAACTAAATCTGAATTTGAAGAAAATGCACAAGTCGTATAATGCAGAAACAGTGTCAGTATATGATTCCTACAGGCTCCAGAAGTAAGTATTTCTTCACTGATGAAGGAAGAGGGAGTTGCTGGACACCCAGTTCACAGCGATTCAACATTGCAGCACGTATTGTACATCTGGCCAGATGCTGTAGAGTGCGTGGATTGTTGGTGCAGACGACAAACAAAGAATCATAGAAATTCCTGTACCTCTAAATGAAGAAAAAGAAACAAGGCTGAAAAAGCAACTTCATGAATGGACTTAATGAATCGATGAATACATCATTGTGTGCTACATTCAGGTCAAAAAGTGTTTTTGTCATATACCACGAAATACTGTTTTCTTTACACAGCCTAATATATTGTTTTTGTTTGTTTGTTTTTTGGAAATACAGTACTTTTTTAAAGTTTGGGTCTGTAATATTTTTTAACGTTTTTGAAAGAAGTCTCTTATGCTCACCAAGGCTGCATTTATTTGATCAGAAATACAGTAAAAACAGTAATATTATCACAATTTAAAAATATTTTTTCTATTTAAATATATTTTAAAATGTAATGTATTTATCTGAATTTTCAGCAGCCATTACTCCAGTCTTCAGTCACATGATCCTTTAGAAATCATTCTAATATGCTGATTTGGTGCTAAAGAAACATTTCTAAACATTTTTTAAGCTAGACAAAATTATGTATTATATATTATTTTATTTTCTTATTCATTTTATTTTATGATGTTTATTTTTTGCAGTGAATAAAGAAGTTTATTTCTGACCTCATATACAGCTTCAGGAATAGCAGCCCTCCATTTTTTAGTGTACTTGATATGTTCATAAGAATTCACCATAACCTCCACTGCTCTGGGGTATTCATGACATGCCTGCAACACCTACTTAACAGAAAGACAACAAAAAAGACCAACATTAATATTTTGAGAGCCATCTTAAGTGTAAACACCTTCTAGTCCGACTATAAAATTCCCACTGACATCTTTACTCTAATAAATATGGAAAACTAAAGCAGTTCGGGTGGGTGAGTGTTGTACCTTGTGAAACTGTGGTGGATACACTCGTGCTGCTCCGTAGTTCAGAAGCAGCTGATAGCAGCGTTCAGGAATGGCCCACGGCCTGATCTGCGTCACCTTCAGCAGATACTGTATCGCTGCGCATCCATTGATATCCATTGCATTAGTCTTGGCACCGGCCTCCAGCAACATCTGGATAAGCACATGATCACAGTTCCAGCAAGCTTTGTGCAGCACCGTCTTGTTGTCTTCCTCATATAAATGTACGTTAGCATTGTGGTCCAACAGGATCCGGCAGACAAGATGGTGGTCAGAGCTGTAGGTCCGCTCACGAATGTCCATGGCCCAGAATGCAGCAGTGATCAGAGGCGTTTCCATGTAGCCGTTGACTGCATTGATATCTGCTCCATGGGCAATGTAGAAAGCCACCAGCTCTGGGATACCATAGCGGGCCGCAGTGTGCAGAGGGGTGTCCTGGTTCTCCTCACTGGGCATGTTGATATTTGCTCCTGCAGTAAGATTAGAAGTCTTGTGTTTTTTGTCCAATAGTGTTGTTTAGGACCCCATTGACTTTATATGGACAAATACAGTTATAATTACAATTACAGTTACAATTTTTGTTTTTAATGC